GTGTGTGTGTGTGAGAGAGGGGTTTAATATCAGCACGTCTCAGTCACATGGCAGCTGTATCTATCTCTCTCTAACACACACACACACACACTCACACTCACACACACACACACACGCACACGCACACACAAACACACACACGGCCAGCGGCTCAGGAACGCAGTCAGCACAAACAGTGTCCTGCTACAGCGGCACTTTCCCATGAACCTGAGCGGCTCTGAACCAGAGAAAGCAAAGCACTGCTTCTGCTGACCTACAGGATCATCATCATCTGGACACAACACCGGCACAAAACACACATCAATACACTGGACACACACCTGTGATTCTCTATTAATGCACCAACTCCTTTACTGTGACAACAAGTTTTTAACACGGACTTTCTTTAAGCCAAAGGTGTTCATTACAATGCACCGTTAAAGGTGCTTTAAAAACACAAGTTTAAAATGTTATTATACTAAATACAGATGATTTTTTTTTGTTAGACATTTAAGATTTGTTTTGTATTGTGCCTTTTTTTTCAGTCCGTATGAATGTTTTATAAAAATATAACTTTTTTTCAATTAATTTTAATTACTACATTTGAACTAATTATTTTTCAGTCTTATTGTAATTAATACAATAATAATATTATAAAATAAAAATATAAAAATAAATATATTTACTTTTTTTAAAGTATCAAACAAAATACTATCACAACTCATAACTGTACTTATCAATTTAATTAATATAAAATTTATTATTAGTAGTATTTTTTTATTTAAAAATGTTACATTTTCATATATATATATATATATATATAAATTACTATATATATATATATATATGTGTGTGTGTGTGCATATATATATATATACATATATAGTATTAATATTATATTATTTTTTTAAATTATTTTTGTTATTTTAGCACATTTCACGTCATTATAATACATAAAATGTAATTGATGTAATTTAACATTTAATTTACAGTGATTAAAATACAAAAATTATTACAGTCATATTTTGCTATAATACAGTAAAAAATATGTGTCAAAAATTAAAACGCACACATTTATATTATACTGCAATTTGGGTGGAAAACATGCTGAACTGTCATTAATGCGTGTGAAATATGACCTGCACGTGTTTTTGTGAGATTCATCAATAAGTGACCGGGTTATTAGTGATGAAATGATGCTGTATGATCAGCAGGACCAGATATGTTATAATAAGTTATAGCAGGTGAACTCCTGACCTTCAGGTCCCTGTAGACCACGTTTCTCTCTGAATGCAGGTAGTCGAGCGCAGACACGATCTCTGCTCCGTAGAAACGCGCGCGATCCTCCGAGAAAACCCGATCCCGAGACAAGTGGAAGAAAAGCTGCGGGAGGAAGGAGTGCTGCACGATTACAGCATCAGATCACCGTAAACCAGCTCATCTGACGAGATCCTCACCTCTCCTCCGTTTGCGTACTCCATGACGAAACACAAGCGGTCGTGGGTTTGGAAAGAGTACTTCAGAGCCTACACAAATACCCACAACAGTGTATTCAATAATCATCATCATCATAACAATTATAATATATATGATAAAAAATATATATATGATAAAGACATTGGAATACAAACTACAATGTATGCAATAACTGTTCATTAGTAATTAATAAATATTATGATAATTTAATATATACATATATTAAGAAAAGTTTTTGTGTATGTGTGTATAAATAAATATATATATATATATATATCATAATATTTTATAAGAATAATTATTACTAATATTTTACACACACACACATATGATAAAGAGATTGAACAATTTGATTCAAATAAATACAATGTATTAAATAATAATAATTTGAATTAAATATATCAATATATATATATATATATTGAGAAAAAAATAATAATAATAAAAAAAAAAAAAATAATAAAAAAAAAAATATATATATATGATGATCTTTCGTGTATATATATATATATATATATATTACATACAAAGAACAATGTATCAAATAATAATAAATAAGGGGAAAAAATTATATTTTTTACAAAATCTAAACATTCATAAAACTATATAAATGTATGTGTACAATGACATATTAAATATTTTTTCAAGGAAATTAATGTGTGTTAAGTGTGTTTTTACTTACAACTTGCCAGTGGAGTCAGAAAAATAAACAAAATTAAAAAACAAATACAAAAAGAGAAAACCTTTATTTTTCTGACACCAGTGGCAGGTTATTTATTTATTTATTTTTGCAGGTTTAAGCATAAACATTTAATTTTCATAAATTCTCAGGCAAAAAATGTAATACATCATTTTGCATCTCAAGTAAACATATCTTGATTTAAGAATGTTTCTATGCACACAAATGTTGAGGAAGAAAATCACTTATTAAAGGAACAGTCATGCAAAAATAAATAAGGAAGTTTGATAAAGCAAGTTTCCTCTGTGGTTCTATCTGGAACACGTTTGATTGCGCACACTTGTGCACAAACAGACAGATTTCCATGAGAACCCCGTTTAACATCAGTCAGTTAAACAGATAACAGCAGACCAGGAAAACAAACTCCTGAAAGATCTGAGCCTCCTGCTATGAATCATTACTGAAGCGGCTCTTAGTGTGGATGATAGACAGAGAGGAGGATGAGGAGGAGGGTCTCTCACCGTGAGGAAGGGGTGTTTGGAGTTCTGCAGCACACGGTTCTCTGCGAGTGTGTGAGCCACTTCATCCTGAAACACAGACAACGATGTCCTGATCAAACCCGCTCATATCACGACTTCATGCGCTGCATCCCGGGATGCTTTTAGAGTTCAGACACTAAATATTTTTCTCTTGCACTCTGAATAGTGCATCAAAAAAAAAAATATATATATATATATATATATTATAAAAACTTTTAAAAATTAAATAAAAAATAGGCCCTGCATAGTGTGTCGTGTAAATTTTATTTGAGTATTAAATTAAATCTTATGTAAATTTTACTACAATATCAGAGGCAGGGGGGAAACTTTTTTTGAGAAATGGCAATAATTTATCACATTCTTTAATGATTTACAAATCTTAGACGTGGATTGAGTGAAGGTATATATGTATACCCCTTATTTTATTATTATTATTAATTTGTTTTATGTTTTTTTTATTTGTTGTAAAAAAAAAAAAAATTTTTTTTTTTTATTAATTAATTAATTTTTTTCAGATGTCATTGTGTTCTAATTGGGTATTGCTTTGTTGGGGCTGGGTAGGGTCGTATATGGTAGGTGGGGTGGTATAAAATGTAAAAATGCAATTTGCAACAATAAAAATGTTACTTATATGAGTTTTTATTTTTCTAGGTTTATTTAAACTTTTCATTTAATTTTAACTATTGGCTAAATTCAATTCTATTAATCTAAAAAGCATGCCAAATCAGCTGAAACCATGAAACGTATGCAATTTAACAACAATCACTTATCAGTTTATTCAAAAAATAAACAAATTATTTAGGGCACTATGACATTTTTTTAATTTAATGTTGTTTTTTTTGGATTCTGTTTTTCCATATTTTATTTTATTCCAAAAGCATGTCTAATTAATTAAAATCATGAAACTTATACAATTTAATAACAATTTGTTGAGTTAAAAAATAAGGGCCCTCTCAAATGCGTTTTATTTTTTCCCAAATTCTTTTTTTTTAATTAGAATTTTTCTAAATTCCATCTATTTACATTTTAATATTTTTTCGATTTTTCGAAGTTTAACCATTAAATCTTAGCAATCAAAAAGCATGTCTAATTAATTGAAATCATGAAACGTTTACAATTTTACTACAACTTAACAAAAATTACATTTTTAGAGTCGTTTTATTTTTTCCCAAATTCTGTTTTATTTCCTTCATATTCTAAGTTTTCCATCTTCATTTTTTTCTGGTTCAATTCTGTTTTAATGGTTTAATTAAATTTGAATAATAATCGAAAAACATGTCTAATCAATAAAATGTATATAACTTTAACAATTTTATAATTTATTAATATTTTTACAATAATACGGCCCTATGAAATGTGTTACGTTTTCAGAAATTCTGTGTTTAAATTTTTTTGTATTGATGATTTAATCCAAAATCATTATTCAAAATCAAAAACTGTAGTATTCAAATTAATGCATTAAAAATGTGACATTTAATTCATCTTTTAAAACATAACCAACTGAAAATGAACAATTCCTTTTATTTTTGAGCAAAAAGTTTAGTGCCGGTTTACTGTTAAAATTAAAACATGGAAGAAAAATTCTGTGATATTCCTTTAAAAATATATCAAGTATCTCCAACATTTCTCTCCACATCAAACCGATCCTTCAATGATGAGTTCAGAAGAGCTTTAACTCCACTGCAGACAAAACTGGGCTAAAATCAGGTTAAGTACACAATAATATTTCTCATATTTGTACTCACTTTGGCTACAATCACTTCTTTCTTGAGGATTTTCATGGCGTAATATTTTCCCGTTGCTTTTTCCTTCACCAGAATCACCTTCCCAAAAGTGCCTTTTCCCAGCAGTTTGAGGTATTCGAAGTCGTGCATCGTCTGAAACACACACCAGCCGAAGAAAATATAAAAAGCATTGTTGCATAATTTACAGCAGAGGTGAATATTGAGTAAGAAAATACTGAACTGAAATGTTGTACATTCCTTTCATTAAAAATATGTTGCGCTTATTATTTTCTGTCTGTTTTGTGTGCGACCCCAAAGTTAAGAACACATATGTGAGCTGCACCACAAAAGCAGTGTTAAGTCGCTGGGGGATATTTGTAGCAATAGCCAACAATACATTGTATGGGTCACAATTATACATTTCTCTTTTATGCCAAAAATCATTAGGATATTTGAGTTCAGAAGAGCTTTAACTCCACTGCAGACAAAACTGGGCTAAAATCAGGTTAAGTACACACTAATATTTCTCATATTTGTACTCACTTTGGCTACAATCACTTCTTTCTTGAGGATTTTCATGGCGTAATATTTTCCCGTTGCTTTTTCCTTCACCAGAATCACCTTCCCAAAAGTGCCTTTTCCCAGCAGTTTGAGGTATTCGAAGTCGTGCATCGTCTGAAACACACACCAGCCGAAGAAAATATAAAAAGCATTGTTGCATAATTTACAGCAGAGGTGAATATTGAGTAAGAAAATACTGAACTGAAATGTTGTACATTCCTTTCATTAAAAATATGTTGCGCTTATTATTTTCTGTCTGTTTTGTGTGCGACCCCAAAGTTAAGAACACATATGTGAGCTGCACCACAAAAGCAGTGTTAAGTCGCTGGGGGATATTTGTAGCAATAGCCAACAATACATTGTATGGGTCACAATTATACATTTCTCTTTTATGCCAAAAATCATTAGGATATTCAGTAAAGATCATGTTCCATGAAGATATTTTGTAAATGTCCTACCGTAAATATATCAAAACTTAATGTTTGATTAGTAAGATTAGGCATTGCTAAGAACTTCATTTGAACAACTTTAAAGATGATTTTCTCAATATTTAGATTTTTTTGCACCCTCAGATTCCAGATTTTCAAATATTGTCCGATCATAACAAACCACACATCAATGGAAAGCTATTTATTCAGCTTTCAGATGATGCATAAATCTCAATTTCGAAAAATTGACCCTTATGACTGGTTTTGTGCTCCAGGGTCACATATGATTATTGTGTTTATTACTGTTATTATAGTGTCTGTTAAGTACCACTTTGAGCCGAGGTTTGGTCAGAAACATCTCCATGTCCATGTGTTCTGGAGACGCGTCCATCATCTCCTCCTCTTGTTTCTGCAGACTGTCGGACACGGTCTGGATGGCTTTGGTCCATTCCTCCCTACACAACAACAACACAAACAAACATGCAAACCAATGCTGCTTTTCTGCAAATATTAGGACTAATTGTCTATGATATTCCTTTGTAAGTCGCTTGGATATAAGCTCCTGTTAATGTACTGTACAGTGGTGTGAAAAAGTTTTTGCCCCCTTCCTGTTTTTTTACTAAAATAATGTGCTTAATCACAGTTCTTTCATGATTTAACAGGAGGGAGCAATTAATTTTTCATATAGGTTTGGACAGCTTTTTTCCCTTAATAAATTAAATCATCATTTAAAAACTGCATTTTGTATTTACTTGCATTATCTTTGTGTAATATTTAAATTTGTTTGATTATCTGAATCTTTTACGTGTGACAAATATGCAAAAAATAAACAAAACAGGAACGGGGCATAGTTTATTTAAATGTGTATATATTTATATTATATTTTATTATAATTTTTTTTCGTTTGAAGTATATTTCAAGTTAAAAGTTTCAATGTTTAACAAGTGCACGACGCTTACAAATATATATTTTTAATAAAGTTATTTAAATGTGTATACATTACATTAAAGTTCAAGGAAATCCAAGATGTTTTTTTAATTTTCATCAAATGCATGATTTAAAAAAAGTATATATATATAGAAATGTGAATATATTTACTTATAATTTATCTTAGTTAAAAAAATCCAAGATTTCTTTTTAAAAAAATACTTTCAACAAATGCATGTTGTTTCCAAATAAATATTTTTGGTATTTATTTAAACTTATGTAAATGTAAACATTTAAATGTTATTTATTTATTCAGTTTTAATTTCAATTTTTACTATTGTTTTATTTTTCAGTTGAATTATATTTAAAGTTCAAGGGAAAAAACACTTAACAAACGCATGACGTCTCAGTCAACCAGTAAACATGTTAATCATTATCTCAATATTGACCAAAATAAATGTGATTATAATTTTGCCATAATCAAGCAGCCTTAAGTGAAAGTTTAATGTGCTTGCCAGTGTTATTTTAGTATCATTAATACACTATTATTTATTAATATACTGAATTTGATTTTGTTCTCATATTTTCTGTTTTCATTTTAGTTTTTATTTAAATTTGTATTTAGTATTAGATTATTTTTTTATATACTGTATATATTTCATTTCAGTTCATGTTTATTTTATTTGAAGTAATGTACATGCGTTTGTATGGCTTTTAACCCTGGTTCTTGCACACTAGTTTCTCTGTGAATTAAGCTGAATGTCTGAGCACATATACAGTGAATAAGGAGCAGGTATGCAGGTGGGTGTGTGTGTGGGTGTGTGTGTGTGTGTGTGTGTGTGTGTGTGTGTGTGTGTGAGTGAGTGTGTGTGTGTGAGTGTCTGACCGCTCCTCAGGCCTCTCCACATGGAAGGTGCGCTCAATGACAGTGGTCCACTGCAGGCAGCGTATGATGAATGTGTTGGGTTTGGGCCGCTCCGTCTTCATCAGCTGACACTCTGGACACATCCGGTGGAAAACCACACCAGAGACACGGACAGCGAGAGAAATTACGGCAGCAATCATTTATCTCTATCTGAGAGTTTCTCCAGCACTACATTACACACACACTCAGTAGGGAGCGGCGAACAGGTGCACTGCATTATTACTCACATGCAAACCTTACACACACTTCAATAACTCATGCACTTTAAAAGGGAAAATATGGGCTAAAACAGAACCTACTGACGGCATGCAACAGAACATCATTCCCACTCAGCCCTCAGAAAGAGTGGAAAAGAAACTTATAAAAGCACTTTTAAACTCGTCACGGCATCTTAAAAACACAAATCTAATGGCAGAAGATGGTGGAGAAACCGCGAGATGTGATGCAATGGCAAGACAGCTTAAAATGACCACATATTAATCATATGCCTTCATAAATTCTGCATGGTGACAATTATTCTTATCTTCTGTCAACAATCAACGTTAATATTGTGTGCAATAATATTAAATGAAAATCTGAAAATGTTATGCACACCTAACATTTGCTCACAAGGATGTTTTGCAATGTTAGAAATTAAGTTTTATATCTAAAAAGTTGGTGAGATGCAAACAAAAGCTTAATATTTTGAATCAGATTTTATTTTAAGATTTTCTGTTTTTAATTTTAAAGTTTTAGTAATTTTACTGTGTGTTTTTGTAACATATATTAGTTTTTTTTAAATATTTATTAGATTCAGTATATTTAGTTTTAGTTATTTTAGTACTTAAACTTAACAAAAATGAAAAATGTTTCCTTGGCAATTAGCTAGAACAATTAATTGTTTTTAATTAACTTAAAAACAAGTTTAAGTTTTTTTCTTATATTTTATTACAGTACCAAAAATGTTTTTAAATGGTTTTAGTTTTAATGATAATAAAATGTAGTTTTCCGGAACCATTTTTAAAACAATTTTCAATTTTTAAAACTATTTTTAACTATTTTTAAAAGCTCTTGGATGGCAGGTTAAAAGCATTAGCACATATTGATTATATGGTCAAAAGTTAGGAATAATTATGATTTTTATTGTTTTTGAAAGAAGTCTTTTCTGCTCACCGAAGCTGCATTTATTTAATTAAAATACAGTAAAAACACAAATATTGTGAAATATTATTATAATTTAAAACAGCTGTTTTCTGTGTGAATATCTGTTAAAATATAATGTATTTCTGTGATGCGCAGCTGTATTTTCAGCATCATTCCTCCAGTCTTCAGTGTCACATGATCTTCAGAAATCAGTATAATATGCTGATTTGAGATTTCTTTCAAAAAAAAAAAAAGTCCACATGTTTGACTTGTGGTGTACAGTGGGTACGGAAAGTATTCAGACCCCCTTAAATTTTTGGTAACAGTTCTGTCACTTTGCATAATACAGACATCAACATTAATACTGTGTGTAGTAATATTGTTTACTATTTGCTCACAAAGGTGTTTTGCGATGTTAGAAATGATGTCTTGTATCTAAAACAAATGTCAAACTCAGAAAAAGTATAACTGGGGGAAAATGCTTTTCTAGAAGCATTTTTTTTTTAATGTATTTTTCAATTGTAAAATAATTTTTAAATTGACAGCATCTTAAAAAGCAAAGCTCATGGCAGAAGACGGTGGAAAAATAGACGAGACGTGATGCAGCGGTCAAAGACGTCCATCTAAAACAGCGAAAAATTAGCACATATTGATTTTTGCATAATAATCAACATCAATATTGTGCATTTATCTGATTTGACTAAACAATAGTACACCTACTGTACACATTTTTAGTTATATATAGTAATTTTTTTTATTTTATTATAATTTTTTATTTATATATTTATTATACATACTTTTTATTATTTATTTTCTATATACATACATGCATACATACATTATTTATTTTGTTTTATCTTTTTTTTTTTTTTTTTATTATATTTAAAGATCAAAGAAATCCAAGAATTCTTCAAAAAAAAAAAGTTCAACAAATGCATGATGTCAATAAATGTTATTGTGGTAAATATGATGCTCATTTAAAAAAAAGTCAAAAATAAGCACATATTACGCTTGTTAATAATCAGTGCAACGTCTCATTTATTGTCATTTTGCATAATAATCAACATTAATATGCTGTTTCCTCCTAACATTTGCAAACAAGGGCGAATTGCGATGTCAGAAATGAAGTTTTACATCTAAAAAATGTCAAACTTCACGCGGCCAATCTGATATTGACGATCAATACACACACACGTATGCTTCTGCGATTCCAACGACGAATGCACAACTGCGTCCGAGGAAAACGGGAATGTCATCAGTTGTTAAAAACTCAAACTCACGTCTTTTTCAGAGAGCAGCCGAAATAAGCAGCGTCTGTGTTCTCTGCCCTCAAAAGTGCTCACTCAAAGAGGAAAACTTACGCTTTCAGCGCCACAAAGCACAATCGCCTCCAATATCCAGCAGCGATTCTGCCAGCGCGTTCCCGCAAACATATGTCGCGGAGCGAGCGTGGAGGAGACATGTGTCACGTAAGAGGCCTGTCGACGAGATGGAGGACCCGGGTGAGACCACCACTGAGATCCAACACTGCAACCCGAGCCTCCATCAGCGGCGAGATAAATAATGAGGATCAGCCACTTAATAACCACTATATTTCACAAGTGTCAGGGAGGAAGCGTTCTCTTGAACAAACATTATGGCTGTCTAATTAGTCTGTTCAATCATCTCAACAGTTTTCGCAGCGATGGCGGGGCTTCTTCACTAAATTGTGCTGAGGTGCGACTGGAGGAGACGGCCCGGATGTGTTTAATATGTTCTGCACGTCCCTCGAGGAAGCAGAAAACTGTTTGAGTTGATGGAGGTCAGATGGAACTAGTTGAAGAATAACATCAAGTCCAGTCATGCATATTAAGCAAATTAAGCATGCACGAAATACACTGCGATCCCTTTTATATTTACAATATTTTTAATTCTTGCTTCTCATTTCCGTCTATTTAAGAAAACTTTGCCGCAACTTTAGTCTTATATCCATATAATGCATTTTAACTCATTTAATGTCATTTATCAAATGAAATGTCTAATATGCACTATTTTTTTTAAATAACTTATAAATAAAACTACCTACCATGTTGCAAATTAACCTGAAATTATATATTTAAATTAAGCATGCACAAAATACACTGCAATCAGTTTTATATTTACAATATATTTAATTCTCGCTTCTCATTTCCGTCTATTTAAGAAAAATTTGCAGTTACTTGTCCATATAATGCATTTTTAACTCATTTAATGTCATTTATCAAACGAAATGTCTAATATGCACTATTTTTCAAAAATACTTTATAAATAAATACAACCTTGCACATCAGCCTGAAATGATATACTTAAATTCAGCATGCATAAAATACAACATCAGTGTAATATCCCAATAATACACTGTTTTTAATTCATTTACAGTATCATTAAATACTGTATAAAAAAAACTACATTAAATGATATACTTAAATTAAGCATGCATTACTGTAATATCCAAATAATGCATTGTTTAAACTCATTTAAAGTTTCAGATACCAAACAAAATAATATGCATTCATTTGATAAATTAACTGCATTCATTTTATAGAAATAAAAACTACCCACCATGTTGCAAATTAACCTGATATTATATACTTTAAGCATGCATAGAACACACTGCAATCAGTTTTGCATTTAAAATATATTTAACTATTATGTATAAGTTTCATAAAAATAAAAACTTTAGAAGGTGCAAAAAAATACTTCTAATGTTGCAAATTAACCTGGAATAAAAAAATGCAATTTTAAAATGTATTTCTGCCATGGAATAAAAAAATAAAAAGGTAATTGAGGCTTTTAATCTCAAATGTTTTACCTTTTTCGGAGTTTATATCTCAAAATGCAATCTTTTTCCTCGCAATTGCAAGTTTATACTGTATCTCAGAATTGTGACCTTTTTTATATTTCACAATTCAGTTTTTCAGAATTGCACACTATACTAAACTCAGAATTGTGAGAAAGTCTAAATCGCAAGATATAAACTTATAATTGCAAGAACAAAAAGTATGAAATACAAAGTTGCAATTTTTATTTTTGTAATTTTTGGAAACAAGCTTGTCACAGTTCTCACAATTCTGACTTTTTTTCTTGTAATTCTGACTTTATTTCTCACAATTCAGGCACAAAAAAGCCAGAATTGCCAGCTAAAAAAGTTTTTCTTAATTCCATTTCGGAAATAAAAAGCTATAGTATCTCTTTGTTTGTCTGACTTTGTTTTACACAAAATTTAAAATAACTAAACTGCATTTATTTACGAAACTGCACACCATTCATTGAAGTAAACATGCACTGCATGTCATAAAAACATTTGATAATAACCCTTAAAATGTTCCTTATACTGTTTTTAGTTTACACAATGCACATTACGAGGCAAGTACTACACTAGTTCTTGATTCAGTTTTAAGCTGGATTGACCCATGCATACACATACGTCATGCTCTCAGATTCTCCTGCAGACTAAGTTGAGAGACTCACGTGCCACGGAGAAGTTGTTTAACGGCGTCTCCAGCTGATCCACGTCCTGCGGACGCTCCTTATAGCCGATAAACGTACCGTCACTCTTCAGCAAGAAATACCGCGGCCTCCACGTCTTTATGTACTCTCCTGTGAGACAGAGAGAGAAAGCTAAATAAATACACAAGGTTTTATTCAATATTAACAGAGTATAAGCAATAAAGTTCTTCTTTGTGCAGATTAACCCAAAAAATGTGTAGCCACCTAAAATCTACAATCCAGAGCAACTTTTTATGAATGCATATATGACCAAAGCCAGTCATTGTGCAGTCATATAAAGCCTCTAAATGATCAGCATGATCAAACTTTGCACACAATCTATGTGTTTGGATCATTTCAATCTCATCTTACGAAGACATATTATTGGAGATATAGAGTGACCGCTGATATTTAGATCATGTTGTGTCAGTATCTGCTGTTCTGTTATAAAGATCTCATTGAATTTCATCATATTTAATCAAATTGCATATTTTGTTCAGTTTCAGCCTCTGAATAAACAAAACATGCAAACTTTTTAAAGATTTAAAAAATATATATTTGTCTCTGTTTAATGTTCCATTAAAAACTCAACTATTTATCTCATAATTATGACTTTGTGTGTCAATTTCTACTTTTTATCTCAAAGTTAGGATTTTTGTCATAAATTTGCATTTTACCTCAAATTATGATTATCATTACTTATGGCTTTCTTATAACGCAATTTTTTTCTCGTGACAATCTCATAAATTTTATCTGATAATTATGACTTTTGTATCTCAATATTATCACACTTGATGATACTTGACATCAACTTGAGATAAAGCTGCTTTGCAACGATTTGCTTCGTGAAAAGCGCTATAAAATAAACTTGAATTGAATATTATAGCTTTAATATCATAATTATGACATTTTTCTTAAAATCACGATGTAGTGTGTCATAATTATGACCTTTTATCTCAATGACTTTGTATGTCAATTTCGACTTCTCATAATTTTGACTCATAATTACGACGTTTTATCTCTTAATTAAGATGTCATAATTTCTACTTTTATCTCAAAATATACCTTAGATGTCATCATTTTGAGATTTTATCTCAAAATTATCACTTTTTATCTCAAAGTTGACTGTGTCATAATTATGACTTCTTTCTCAAAATGATGAATTAGTGTCATAATAAAGACTTTCTATCTCATAATTATGACCTTTTATCTCATGAATGATTATGACTTAGTATGTCATAATTTCAATTGTTTTTTTGTCTCAAAATTATGCCTTTTTATGTCCGAGTTCTGACTTTCAATCTCATAATTATGACTAAACGGACAACAAATGCTTGATGCATCAAATATGCAAACTTTTTAAATATTCATATTTTCAATAAACTGTTTCAACAGACTTTCTGACTATTATGATTATTTCACAAACACGTCAGGCTTCACGGGGTTAAAGACCTTTATTGAACGGAGAGCTAAACCTTTAGGAAACGATTCTAACATGCAATGCATCTAAATTTCGATGTTTGAGCTCCAAACAACAGCAAAACACCTCCATTTCCAAAAGCAGCACGAGCGAGAGCGACCCAAAGCTGCGGCCGTGTTCTGCAAGAGAGATCAATCTGTGCTGAGGACGGTGCAGAAATCACTGCACCAGATGTTGCGGAATTGGAAATGAAAAAAACTGAGAGAGTCTGCAGCACGTCAGAAACAGAGACAGTTTGAATAGTTATCCAGGAAAAGTGTAATTTATTTTTAATTACGGGAGTCGAATATTAACCCCATGCAGGGTCTGAGCAAGCTGTCCTTAATTGGCCCATTTCCTCTGTCACTAAAGTGTGGATGTGTCACGGCAAACGTCTGTCTCGCTGATTTTTAGCAGCTTTCGGCTCATTTGAGCTGTGACAGACCAGAGGAGCAGCGACTGGCCCGTAACAGAGCAGCTACACATGCATTTGTCATCTAAACACTGCAACGCTTCACAGAAACTTCAGATCACTTTCAGCTTTCTGAAGAGAGCCCGTTTTCTAACTTTTCCTCTTTTACAGGACTGTTCACATGATGATGAGCAAGTTAAGATGTGCAAATGTGAAGCTCAGTGCTCTTGGATAATGCTAGTGAATTGAATATGCTTTTCGGCAAAGAGAAATATGTTTTGGACTTCATGAACAGCAGCTAGAACGAACACGAAACACAGACATACACAACCACACTAATGATTTAGGCAGAGGCGTCAGGTATAAGGCTTCCCAAGTGGGTTCGTGAACCTCTGATGGTGTGTGAGTTGATACAAAATGTCAAATTAATATTAATAAATAAAAAAGTCAAAATACAGCACTTACTGAAATTATTAAAATCATAAGTACAATTTAAATAAAGAAAATTCCAAATAAAAGCAAACTAAAAATTAAATGATAAAAATTTTAAATAATAAATATTTTACATAAAAACAGACAAAATAGAATGCTTACTAAAATTATTAGAATCGTAAGAATGTAAAATTGAAATAAAAGCAATCAAAAGAAAACCATTACTAAAAAGAATTATCAATAGTAGAAATGCAATTTTATAATTAATATTTTTAAAAATAAAAAGTCAAAATACAACACAAATTAAAAAAAATATTAAAACCATATTAAAATCGTAAGAAGGTAAAAATTAAAAGAAATAATTTTCAAAATGCAATTCTTCCTAAAAATGTCTAAAATCACAAGAACGGAAACATTTAAATAAAAACAATCAAAATAAAACACTAAAAATAAATAAGAAATTTTTTAAAAATATTTAAAATTAAAAACTGGCAAAACACAACACTTGCTAAAATTGATTCAATGATGTAAAATTGAAATAAATAATTCCCAAATAAATGCAAATCAAAGTAAAAGCATTTACTAAAAATGAATTAAATCATAAAATGTAAAATTATATTACATGTTTTTTTATAAAAGCAGTGAAAATTCAATGCTTACAAATGAGAATGCAAAATTGAAATAAATGAATAATTTCCAAATAACACAATTTGAAATTATAATAAGAAAGTAACTTTCAAATAAAAACAAATCAGATAACTGTGAACGTGCAAATGTGTTGTTAAATTATTGAAACATTAACTCAAAATCTTGAAGTAAGTGTTTTAGCTCAAAGGGGTTCGGCTGATAAAAATGTTTGGGAATCATTGTGTGTGTGTGAGTGTGTGTGTGTGTGTGTGTGTGTGTGTGTGTGTGTGTGTGTGTGTGTGTGAGTGTGTGTGTGTGTGTGTGTGAGTGTGTGTGTGTGTGTGTGTGTGTGTGTGAGTGTGTGTGTGTGTGTGTGTGTGTGAGTGAGATAGTGAGTGAGTGTGTGTGTGTGTGTGCGTGAGTGAGTGTGTGTATGTGTGTGTGTGAGTGTGAGTGTGTGTGTGTGTGTGTGAGTGTGAGTGAGTGTGTGTGTGTGTGTGTGAGTGTGAGTGAGTGTGTGTGTGTGTGTGTGAGTGTGAGTGAGTGTGTGTGTGTGTGTGTGAGTGTGAGTGAGTGTGTGTGTGTGTGTGTGAGTGTGAGTGAGTGTGTGTGTGTGTGTGTGAGTGTGAGTGAGTGTGTGTGTGTGTGTGTGAGTGTGAGTGAGTGTGTGTGTGTGTGTGTGAGTGTGAGTGAGTGTGTGTGTGTGTGTGTGAGTGTGAGTGAGTGTGTGTGTGTGTGTGTGAGTGTGAGTGAGTGTGTGTGTGTGTGTGTGAGTGTGAGTGAGTGTGTGTGTGTGTGTGTGAGTGTGAGTGAGTGTGTGTGTGTGTGTGTGAGTGTGAGTGAGTGTGTGTGTGTGTGTGTGAGTGTGAGTGAGTGTGTGTGTGTGTGTGTGAGTGTGAGTGAGTGTGTGTGTGTGTGTGTGAGTGTGAGTGAGTGTGTGTGTGTGTGTGTGAGTGTGAGTGAGTGTGTGTGTGTGTGTGTGAGTGTGAGTGAGTGTGTGTGTGTGTGTGTGAGTGTGAGTGAGTGTGTGTGTGTGTGTGTGAGTGTGAGTGAGTGTGTGTGTGTGTGTGTGAGTGTGAGTGAGTGTGTGTGTGTGTGTGTGAGTGTGAGTGAGTGTGTGTGTGTGTGTGTGAGTGTGAGTGAGTGTGTGTGTGTGTGTGTGAGTGTGAGTGAGTGTGTGTGTGTGTGTGTGAGTGTGAGTGAGTGTGTGTGTGTGTGTGTGAGTGTGAGTGAGTGTGTGTGTGTGTGTGTGAGTGTGAGTGAGTGTGTGTGTGTGTGTGTGAGTGTGAGTGAGTGTGTGTGTGTGTGTGTGAGTGTGAGTGAGTGTGTGTGTGTGTGTGTGAGTGTGAGTGAGTGTGTGTGTGTGTGTGTGAGTGTGAGTGAGTGTGTGTGTGTGTGTGTGAGTGTGAGTGAGTGTGTGTGTGTGTGTGTGAGTGTGAGTGAGTGTGTGTGTGTGTGTGTGAGTGTGAGTGAGTGTGTGTGTGTGTGTGTGAGTGTGAGTGAGTGTGTGTGTGTGTGTGTGAGTGTGAGTGAGTGTGTGTGTGTGTGTGTGAGTGTGAGTGAGTGTGTGTGTGTGTGTGTGAGTGTGAGTGAGTGTGTGTGTGTGTGTGTGAGTGTGAGTGAGTGTGTGTGTGTGTGTGTGAGTGTGAGTGAGTGTGTGTGTGTGTGTGTGAGTGTGAGTGAGTGTGTGTGTGTGTGTGTGAGTGTGAGTGAGTGTGTGTGTGTGTGTGTGAGTGTGAGTGAGTGTGTGTGTGTGTGTGTGAGTGTGAGTGAGTGTGTGTGTGTGTGTGTGAGTGTGAGTGAGTGTGTGTGTGTGTGTGTGAGTGTGAGTGAGTGTGTGTGTGTGTGTGTGAGTGTGAGTGAGTGTGTGTGTGTGTGTGTGAGTGTGAGTGAGTGTGTGTGTGTGTGTGTGAGTGTGAGTGAGTGTGTGTGTGTGTGTGTGAGTGTGAGTGAGTGTGTGTGTGTGTGTGTGAGTGTGAGTGAGTGTGTGTGTGTGTGTGTGAGTGTGAGTGAGTGTGTGTGTGTGTGTGTGAGTGTGAGTGAGTGTGTGTGTGTGTGTGTGAGTGTGAGTGAGTGTGTGTGTGTGTGTGTGAGTGTGAGTGAGTGTGTGTGTGTGTGTGTGAGTGTGAGTGAGTGTGTGTGTGTGTGTGTGAGTGTGTGTGAGATAGTGAGTGTGTGTGT